GGGGAGCTGCTTGGCGCTCGTTGAGCCCCGTCCCTTCTGCCTTAGGCCCCGGTGTTTGTCCGCAGGCTCCTCCTCCGTGTGTGAAATCGTTGCGGGACTTGGTTTCGACTTGTACCCGTGACTTGTCTGTGATTTTTCTTTCTTTTTGGTTAAGCCTGATTTTCTTCTATTAGAGGAAAAGGAAGGAAAAAAAGCGTAACCTAACATAAATTGTAAGAGTTTTTTTTTAAAGTAATAGGGTAGGCAAGTTAAGGACAGCCTTCAAAAATAGGGATGCTTTCTTGGCCCTTTCAGGTTGACTTTTTTTATCGGAACTGTTTCATATTCCTTCAGAGAAGTAGTAGTCTGGGCCCTAAATAAGGTCTTTATGTACTTTCCAGTGATGGTTTTCCTGTAACAGGAGCTGGGTGCACTGGTTAGAAAGGAATAGCTGACTTTCTGTGTGTTGGATTTTGGATGAATTTTTGTGTCTGTTTTTACAAAACAAGTGTACACAACATAAATTTATACTTAGTGTGCAATAAGAGAGTTCTGAAAGCAAGGAAAAACACTCTTCCTAGAGGAATGGCCTAGTTATAATGTGTCTCTATTCCTTCGTTTATTCTTTAGGAAATACAACTTAAAAATGTAGGGTGTTTTTTTTGTGAATTGCTTCTTAATGCGCTTTTGCATCTGTTAAAATTCCTATTCACAACTTGCAGTTACATAAAGCTTACTGTGTTAGCAATACACTCATTGAATATTCCTAACGGGGGTGCTGTTTCTTGGGCTACAGAACTGTGCAACATCTTCACGGGGTCACTGCTTCCAGCTGACCTGTGTTACAAAGGGACTGTGATGTGACATGTGTGGCATGAAGTGATGGAAATCCAGTCACGTTCCAAAACAAGCTCTGCTGAGTCTTCTCAAGTTCAAACTTTCACTGCCTAAGCTAAACTTCACTTCTGCTGTCAAGTCATGAAACTTCAGCCTCCAACAATTGCCTTTTCTGACAGTGAAAGTATTAGTAATTGTTATTGCATGTAGACATTGATGGGAGTGACTGAAACGTTTTGTTATGAAGCTAAAGCAAATGGGAGGACAAACCCTATTTTATCTCAGTAATATTTCTAAGTTCTATACAACAGCTTCATGTACTTAGAATATTTTTTTTTTTTGGTGTAGTATTTCCTGTACTCTTTCCAGTAATGGTTTAATCTTGAATCGAAGTAATGGAAATATCTTGAATTACTTTAGAGTCTTTTTGCAATCAATGAATAAGAATACAGGCTGAGACAACCATTTCATCTCAATTGATGTTACATTTAAATAGAATGTACTTGTCTGGAAACTTGTTCTGGCATTCCCTCGGTGCAGCAAAGAGAGCTCGCCAGGCTGGCCTTCAAACTCACAGCAAAACCAGCATCTTCATCTTTCTATCTTTATTTGGCTTTTGTTTTGGAGAGGGCTTGGAAAAACAATAAACCCCAAGAAACAACCAGACAAAGCATGGAAGGCTGCTTTGTTAAGCATCAAAACATTCATTAAAATTTATCTTCACAATTACTGATAAGCAGTGTGCTGACAGAGCTGCAATCTAGTTCCAGTGTGTTTTTTCCAGTGTGTTTTTGACAGCACAGGTTTACTCCTGTGTGTGCTCACCCTAAGCTGCCTTTGCAGTCCTGTATGGGGTCCACTCTGTATTGCTGGCCCTGTCCCCACCACCCAGTTCTCCTCCAGCACCAAGAAAACACCAAAGGGTCTCACTGCTCCAAAAAGCAGAGGAGGGACCTCACAGAGGCTGGCAAACGTTTCCCCTCTGACAGCCCAACAGCATGTGAGGTCAATGGACAATTTCTAGAGTGGGCAAGGAAAAAGCTTGTTTTGGAGTTGTGATAGTAGTAGTTGAAGCAAGTATAGATCAGAGCAGTAAGATTACACAGCCAGCTTTTTGGAACTATTTTTTTTCTACACTGTTAAAGTAGAAGATCCACACTTTTCCTTTCAGGTAATTTCAAGATCTTATTTTGGCCCTGTGATAACCTGTGGCTGCTGGAAGCTGCTTCTTCCATGTCCCATAGAGCCAACGCAGCCGGCTCCAAGCCAGGGTCAACCCACCACGACTATTTTGGTGTGGGATGAAGTTATTTAGAATATATATATTAGTATGGAGGCATCTGGAAATACTGGGAAATAGTTGGTGACTTCCTAACCAAGTCTTTGTTTATTAAATCTGTTGTTCTCTTAGATGTACACAGATCCTGGACTTTTTTTTAATTGAATAACCTGCATCCTGCTGACCAAGAAATCAGATTTGAGTTCTCTTTTCTGTTTTGTTGGGGTTTTTTTCATTCTTTCCTCACTGGAAGAGCACAGTTGTAGCTCCCTGCTCACTTTGGTAAGTATTCCTTTGAAAACAATACTCAACTTGCCTAAAATCTGTGGCTTTAGCTACGTTTGAGCTAGTGTATTTGCTGAAAGAGAAGTGACACTGGTAACGATTTTGATTGTGCAATTTGAAACCTGTATGAAATTAGTTGCCAAAAATTGGAAAAGAACGGGTAAAATAATGATTAGGATATATGTTTAAGCACCAGTGAAGACAAGCTCATAAAAATAAGCTTTCTCTGCATCAGTGGCTGAAGCTACTTCTTTTTTATAAATGAGTAATTAGGTACATAGAGATCTAGTCTTCTCATTGAAAACCAAATATTGTTCCAAGTTTCCATTCTGAGATGTATTTATGAAAGACAGAGATCAGTACCACCCTCTGTTTTATCAGTTTGAGTAAAACACAGTTGGTTGCAGATGTAGTTCTGTGACCTCATGTGCCTCTTTAGCTGGCTTGTCATCATTTATGTCATAGATTTCTGGTTACCTTAGGCATATTAGATTCCTGCTCTTAAATTTCATTTTTCTTAAAAAAGCTAGAGTTTATATTAAATGCCTTTGTATTTTGTTTCAAATGAGAAGAGTTGATGTGAATGTTAAGGTTAACTTGCTTGGAAGCCCTTGCATGATGCCATTGGGTGGCTTCCATTAATAGAGATACCAGAATAAGGACCTGTTTTGTGTAAGGGTTGATGGATTTGCCACTCGGGTAGCCCCTCTAACTGCCTCGTTTTTCACCTGTTCTTTTCTTTTCTAGATGTCAGTCTGCTGCTAATGGGTGTAAGTAAATTAGATGTCTTGTACAGGAAGCTTCTCCTCACCAAACTTTTCATCAGAGGATGGGGAAAGCCAGAGGATCTGAAAAGGTGACTTGTTAAAAAATAATAGGATAAATGGTATTTTTTATTAAAAGGAAAAAAAAGACCCTTGAAGTACCAACAATTGTTACTATCCTATATTTAAAAACAAACAAACATGTTAAAGTTTGTTTTCTTCAGGAAATCATGTTTCCATACCAAGGGAGGAACTGGGTTTAAAAAAAGTCAGAAAAGGGTTTGCTAACTATGTGTGTTTAAAGAGGCTCCTCTTGAGACAACATGTACGTGTCCAATTACGTTCTTCATTTATGCATATAAGATAACATACTTCAAGCAGCATCTCTGAAAGTGTTTTCTAAAAGCAAAACTTGCTGGAATTTTTGCAGAGGGATTGTTCTGTTTAACATAAGGGGACCTTGCTAGCTTTCTGTAACTTCGCAGTAATAATGATCCTTAAAAGTGTAAGAGATAATCAGAAGTTACTGTCATGGTCCAAAGTAGTAAACTCGTTCTTTTTAGATGTCTTGAAAATGAGGAAAAAATGGAGGTACCTAATAATTTTTAAATACTTGCTGATTTTTATTAGTTGAGTAACACTTGGAAGTTCAGCACTTGCATTTCTTCAGTTTAAAATTAAATGACTGAACATACATTTTCTCTGTCAGGTAGTGTTTAAATAGGAAATGATAAATCTGCATTTAATAAGCCAATTCTTTCTGTATTTTAAAATCAGTAAAGGAAATACATGTTTAAAAATACCGAATTTTTTTTTTTTTTCACTGTGGATGGTGGTGGTGTTATGGGGGAGGGGGCTGTATTTTGTTTTAAATCCAAGTCAAATATCTCATCTTGAAGTGGCACTTGGATTACTTTATATGTCTGTCTTCAGTTGATTTTTCTCTTACATAGCAGACTTTCCTGCAAAATGAGAACACTAGATTTTTAAATACTGTGTTAGAGTAAGCAAAAAATAAGGGTTTTGTTTTGTTTGTAGCATTTCTGTGTTGTGTTACGTGTGCATGTATCTGAAATGGGACATGGTAATGTTATCAAAACTCTCTTATAAACTTCCAGGTTCTTGGTGAGACATGATGAAGTTTCACTCCCCCCCAAACAACTGCTTTCTGTAGAGGGGAACTTCTGACTAATTCTGCTGTTAGCTGTCACAGTACTAGGCGAGGGTTTTCTCTTGCGTGGGGTCTGTCAGCACCCCCATGTCAAAGAGCAATAAAGAAGCCTTCTGGTAGTAATCGTCTTGGCTGTCGCTCTTCCTTTTTCATAGAGAGGGGAAAAAAAACTTTCACATGAGGTCAGAAGCTGTGGGGGAAACGAGGCCAGCTTGCTGGCCTGAAAAGTGGAAGAAGAATTTGTTCTGTATGTTGCTCCTGAGTGGGCAGAAGGTGAGCAGTTCCCAGCAGCCTGGCCTCACCTGGATGAAGAAGGAGGAACACTGCCTCCTCCTGACTCCTCACTCTGGCTCTGCCCTGTCATGCCACAGTGTCAGCATTGCCTGTCTTTTTTTTTTTTTAAACTGATCACTGTGAAGCTCCATTAGAAGAGATTATTACATTTCTTACACTTGAAGCAATAGTTGAGATTGACTGATTGCACAGGCTGCCCTGCCCAGATATAATCTGAAGTTTTATGTACACACCCTGGATGTGATCCCTGTTGCTATCTTGATGCTTTAGCCTCAACTCATTAGCATGACTTGAAATTCCTCAATACATGCAAGACAACCTTCAGTATCCTTCTAACTGAACAGAGAATACATAAATGCAGTATTTCTAGAGGATTAGTGTCAAGCAAAACATGTCTTCATTTAGCTTATCCTCCACACTCACATCTCATACCTCTACCCTTATTTTCTCAGAAATACTTAATGCACTTGTTCTGTATAAGAAAAGTAAAGGCTATATAGTAGACCTGGTTTTGGTGTGGTTGTCAACTGGATTTTCTTTCTTTTTAGTTTGCTTTTCATTAGTGTTGGGAAGGTGAACGGATCGTTCCTGTTATGCTATTGTTCTGTACTTGCCATCTGAATCTGCCATTTTAGTTAGGTGTCAAAAAGAACAAGCAAGTTATATAGTATTTAAGGTTGAGAGGGCATCTTCAGGGCACCTAGTCCAGATCCCAGTTTATAACAAAGCTAACTTCCTAATTGATCCAAGTCACTTGGCACCTTATCCATTCAATTTTGAAAGTCCCTGGAGGATGGAGATTACTCGTAGATTTCCCTGGGCAATCTTCTCTGGTGCTTAACTGCTCTCACTCTGGGAGAAGTCTGTCCCTGTGCTCAGAATTCCATACGTTGCAACATCTGCCTCTTGTCCTCTCACTGTGTGCCTCTGAGAAGAGTCTGGTTATGCTTGCTGAATGTGACTGCCTCACAGCTGTCAACCTCACCCTCCAGTTTGGGTTGTTCATGAACTTCCTGAAGTGCTGCTAGTAACTTGTTTCCAGATAGACTTGAGACCACTGTCAGTCCAGCCCCATTCTCTCCTGTTCAGTCTGTTGCCCCACTGTGCCTACAAGGGTGTCTGAATGTAAGGAGTTGCTATGTCTTAATTTGGCCCTGAAAAATGACATAAATTTTCATAAGTTTTCAACATATCAGGTGTAGAATACTATTTAAGGAGCTGTGCAGCCACAAGCCATCTGTTTTTGATCCTGGTTTTCAGTTCAGAAAGAGAAAACCCCACAAAAGCCCCCAACATTCTTATATACCTACTCTGTGGTAGCCTGATTAATCTGCAAATGTAAAGCAGGCTTTGTAACTTTTATTTTCTTCGTGGCTTACTTTAGGTCCTGAAATCATATATATAAATAATCTTCTCTTTTTTTTTTAGATTAAAAGTTGAATCTTCTCTACTTGTTTCCTTTCAACAGAATATTTGAATTCAGAAAGATTATTGGAAACAGGGAAAAATGCCAGACTCTGGTTTCGAAAGATTACCCAGTGTTCATTGACAAGGTACTTAAAAGCAAGAGATGATGAAGTTTAACTAAATATATTTTCTGCTGAATGGTTTTCTAACAGGTGGCCTTAACTGACTTCACTGCTGTTCCCAGTTGCTCTGTATCAAGAAAAGGATGTTAGAACTTACCTTTGAGGGAAGAGAAGTGAGGCTGTTAAATAAATACACTGGTTGTCAGTGCTGTGGCAGGCTAGATACTTTTAACAGATTGCTGGTTTGATTTTTTTTTTTTTTTTTTTTTAATTGAGCTGCTGTGGTTACAATTAGGAAGCAATGGCAAAAGTATGAAATGGGGTTGGAAGGGATGGGAAGATGAGCAGTCACATTGTCTGCTAGCGGAGAATGGAAGGAGATGGAGAAGAAAGCAGTGGCTGTACAGATACTGTTTTATTTTTTCCCCCGTAATGCAATAGTTGGGGAGGTGGTCTATCAGATCTTGAACCACAAAAAGTGCTCAAAACTTAATATGTATTATGGAAGTTATTTAAATTGGGACAGCATTACACATGATTCCTTTAGTAGGTCATTTAACGAAAGCCAGGCTTGAAACCCATTTTGACTGTTGATAATGTGTACCCCTAAATTTGAAATAGATCTAGGCATTTTTTAAGTACATTTATTCTACAATATTTTTTTTCCTGCTTTAAGAGATTGGCTTTCAGAGCAATGGTAAGAAGTCCTCTGCTATCATCCCATTCTTTCTGTAGGTTGAGCAGCAATCCGATTGTAAAATCCTTGAGGGGCACTTCCTTTCCCCATTGGCTCATTATGTGCCAGGTGTCCTGCCAGTTGAATCTCTTGTAGCAAGGTAAGAGAAACCAAGTGGTATTTCCTTTCTGAAATCAGTACTGCAGAGAAATAATGGTCTCTAGATTCGCTTTTTTTTAAAGTACTCATTTTCAAAATGAGCAGCATGCTGGGAATGAAGGGTACTGTGGCCAGGACAGTAGTCGTTGGTTATATGTAGCAAGAAAAGCTGTTTATGTGAAGGAAACATTATATTGTATTTGAAGGAACAATTCCAGCCTTCCATTTATGGTGAATACAAAACTATTGGCTATGTACTGAAGTAGTAAGTTCACTTAATTGTAGCAAGAGAATCTGGTGCCTTTCTTAATGGCTTGCCATTAAGAAAAAAGCATCATCACAGGAAGCTGGATGTTCTCTAATAGTCAGAAGATCCCTAATGGTATTCTTTCTGGTTTATACTAACACTGCTTTGCAGCTGAGGGGTGAGTTTGGAAGTAATTTGTTTGCTTTTAGTCTTGAACTAAACTTGATGATGGATTTTTTTTCCAAGCTTTGTTTAATAACTTAAACATGAAAGTTTGTCTGTTCAAGTTGATACTGGCATTGTCAATTTTATCAGTATTACTGGCTGGTGGGTTTATGTGTACTTAAACATGTAACACTAAGGAAAAAGTTCGATAGTCAAAGTAATGGTTTTCTCTCCATTGGCTAAAGAAATACAAATTAGTACCATACTGGAAAATACAGTATACTGATTGTTTCTTTGTCTGTGTTTTCCTACAATTTGTGGTCAAGTCGTGCTAATTTTTACACTGGACAGTATCATTACAGTTTTGAAACACTCTACAGATTTCCTTTATGATCATTGTGCACTGTGTGAATAATCTTTTCTGAAGTGCGATACTGCTGTAGGTAACAGTGCTCCATCTCGTGGGGAAAATAGTAGTGGCTCAGAAATGGTTTGGGGTTTTTTTTTCTCCGCTAGTTAGACTATAAATAACCTGAGTGGTAGCAGAAGACATTAAGTGATTGATGTCAGGTGTATAGAATAGTTTAATGATTTATATGTGTGTTTGCTTGTTTTTTTGGTTGTGTGTTTTGTTTGTTTGTTTCTTTTTTAATTTAAAATGTTCATTTTAATCTTCAGTTTTGGCTGTTGTGCACTCGGAGGAAAGTAGTAATGCTGCCTAGGAGAGCTAGTCATACTTGTGTAGGCTGCCCTTCAGCTGAAGTTCCATTTCTCCACTCTGCAAAATTTAAATTGTGATGATGAGGTAGCAGTCTTTTTTAGGAACATGATCTTTCATCTTGGCTCCTTTTCTCATTTGGCAATGATTCTGCCCTACCTCTGGATTCCTTTCTTTGCTGGATGTGTTTATGCAAAGTGCTATTGCTGAATCCCTGGCAGTTGGCCCACATGAGTTACAAAAATACTTTATTACTTTTTCCTTCTTTTTTTTTTTTTTTTTCTTTTAGATTACTTTCTCTGTCACAGCTTGTAGATAGATAAACTTACTTTTGCTAAAATAGGTGTTTGTTTGTCATAGATTCCAGTTCATCATACCCAGAAGGTGGAATAGCAAGCACAGACCAGTGTGCATTCATTTAGCAGGCACTGGAGATCATGTGAGTATTTAAAATAACATTTTTTGTTATCGAGAAATTAAATAATCATATTTTATCTTAACATGTGTTTGTACATCTTCTCTTCAGCACTTCTGGAGGAGACGCACGTTAATGGCACGCCCCATGATTAAAGAAGCCTGTATGGCTTCCCTATTGCTAGAAAATCCTTACTATATCCTTTTGTAGAAAGCAAGATATTTATTCCCCATGTTCTCTCCAGGAGGTAGAAGACTTATCACCATGACATAACAGCTACTCTGTGGATTGATTTCCAGTGGATAGAGGCAAAGAGCAAAGTATGACCCCTGAGTGGATCACAATGTGGGCTGCAGTTAACGCAGTATGCTACTTTTTACAACAAGTATTACTTTTCTCATGGATTTGAAAGTGTCTTCTACAGGTTCTTACTGTGGTCATTATAGTTCTGATATGAATCTGTGTGCTGACCAAAGTACCTGTAGTCCCTTCAGCCAGAGTGAAAACTGTACATTCATTCCACATCATACTGTGGAATTTGTGAATGTATCCATGGTAGAAAAGGAAGTTGCCTCTCCAGCCTTCCCTTCTCCAATGCTGCAATCTTCTGGTACCTGAGGTACTTTTGAGAGACTTACTGCTATCATCTTAAGACCTTTTTTTTAAAAAACAGTCTTAAGTTCTGTCCTTTCATCAATTGATCAGTAACTTCTGTAACACTGTTACCCTTCTGTATTAAATGGGATCTCTAGTTATGCTTTTTTTCCTACCCGTATACCTAAAGAAGAAATCTTATGTTGCAAACTATATCATCAAACTACATCTAAGTTGATTTAGTTCCAGTTATACATTCGAAATTAAAGTTTCAATTTTTAATTAAAGTACTGGCTAGTTAGAATATTACTTAGTTTTGTTTTACTTTTTTTTTTATTTTATTTGCCAGTTTTCATATACAAGTGCTTTACTTTCTTTAACTTAAGTCTTCTACATGGCTGTAGAAAACCTAAGGATCAATTGTAAGTATTATGTTACACTCATGGATAACTGTCTTTTTAAATTACTGCTTTTTCTTTTTTTTTTTTTTCTTAAGAAGCTCAAAGTAGTATGCACTTTGATAGCTGATTAAGAAAATAAAAATCTTAAGGGTCAACCACTTATAACCTGCTAATGTGAAATTGTATGTCCCTTGCTAGGCTGCTCTGTCATTTTTTGTGCTAAGAGATCACAGTGATAGTAAAGTCTGCAGAAGATTAACTTGCATTATAGAGTCAGATAAGTGAGTGCAAGCATCAGGTTACTTTCTTCACTCACAACTTTGTACATTTTGTGGATGTACAACTCACAAATTTGTACATTTGCATGTGCAAATGCTGCAATTTTGTTTCAGTCACCTGTGAATAATCTTAGTTCAGATACCATATTTTCCTGTTTTAATTGAGAAGATTCTGCTTTTCCAAGATATTTTCAGGGGAAGACAGTCAGACATGTAAATAAATTCAGTATAGCTTGTTTGTTATTCAGTGGAAACTTGTGCAAAATTCATGATTTTATAGGACTTCCACCCTCAGTCAGTTTCTTAAATGTGAATTTAGAAACCTAATTAGGCAGTCCTGTTTTTTTTGCTTTTCACATTTTCTGAACCAAAAAAACCGCTGGAGTATAAACAGAATTCAACATACGTCTCTGAGGCAAAGCTGTGGGTTTAGTCTACCAATATTTCTTAAAGTCCAAATATGTTTTGATGTTTTAATCCTTTATAATCCTTATCTGGACATTTGACCTAGGTAGAAGATGCATAGAAGGTGATTTATTTTTAAACCTCTCCATTCTGTTAGGACTTCACAAGGAGCACTGTCTCACACTATAGCATTTTAGTTTTCCTAGTTTTTATTTATATTTCAGCATTTGGATTTCCTAAATACAAAAGCTTAAAAAAAAAAAATCACTTTTAAGAAGAAAATTTAAATTCAAAAGTAGTTTCTAGTTTTGTTCAAAGCAGATGCTGAGTTTTATTTACTTTGACCAAAAAACCACTTCTTTAAAGAAAGTGAATTATATTCACCAACTAAGATGATAGTTGTAAAATTGCTTTTTTGATAGGAAAACTTAAATATATATGTAGTTAGTATTGCATTTAGAATTGTAAGATTGTGGGAAAGTGACAGGAGAGAGTGTGTGCTGGAACACATCCACTGATTTATTTTTTTTAAAATTATTGTTGATGATGATTATTGATGATCTGATGCAGGAGAATAATTATTTAGGTGAGGATATTTCTAACTAACTCTTATCTCAGTTGTCAATAGCTTGACAGCTGAGTATATGCGTGATGTAGAGAAGGATTCTTTGAAAGGGGAGTGCTCAGTCTGGTACCCCAGCCAGTAATGGGCACTCCCTGATACAGAGTTACAAAGCAGCAGCAAGGTTTTAGTTTATATGGTAGTAACAGTGTTTAATAAATATAATAGCTGGAGAGGGCTGAGGAATCTCATAACAAAGCTGTAGGAAAGAATTACATTAGGCTATAAATATTGGTCTGCAGCAGCTATGTTCATTTCTCCTGCAGCTTGCATAGTAAGCTTTGTAGAAAAAAATTTTTTTTTAGAAAGCTGAATAGCTTTCTACTATTTTTTTTGTTTTTATTTTGTTCTAATGCTTTGCAGTACACTACATGAATTTCCCAGTACCGTGACAAACTTCCCACTTTACAATTTCAGTCTGACAGTGACACTGATGAGTGCTTCCAAAGCTGACATACAGATTGCTCTTCAAATGTTGTGTGCAATTTTTCAATGATGTAAAACAGGTAAATAAGAAAAAAAAAAAAGAGAAAAGGATTGTTTCTGCAAATGAGATAGTGTATGTCTGGGACTGTATCTCTTGGATTGTTTTTTAAAAGATGCGTTATATGGTTCTGTTTCTAAAAGATCTGTTATAACTTCACAGGACAGAAGATTACTGCTAATGAGATTCTAATGTTGGTAATATCTGTTTCTAGAAGACTAAGCTGTCAGTGATATTGCTTTAGAAGCTTAGCGGGTGTCTATTTCTAGTCCTAAATTAGATGAAAAAGTACAAGTGCTAGAGAATCTGGACTTGGTTTTTCTCCTGTTGAGTCAACAGGAGTTCAGCTCCAAAATTCTCTGGGATTGTGGTCAGGCTTTGTATAAAAGTTTGTACAGAGTGATGAGAACTGTCAAAATCTAATTTTGGAAAATAAATGCTATATTTTCCTTTTCTGGGGAGAAAAGACGGTCATGTTTAAAAAATGTCTCGGACCTGTTTGTGATGGGAGGAGCTCTTGTTCTAGAGTCTGCAGCTCTTTTGCACTGGCTAGAGAGAGAAGGCTATGGACCACTAGGGATGACTGGAATATCCATGGGAGGACATGTAAGCTTTCATATTTCCTGTTCAGTAATTTCTGTTTTAACTTTCATTTGATCATTTAGCATGCAGAAAAGATTTGTTTCATGGTGTTCCTCTCAGAAGTACTTAAAAGTAAACATTTAAAGTCACAAGAAACAAGTGATTGGCAATTCTCATGTTCTGTTGTGCTGAATTAGAATAATCCTCAGTAAGTACTGACAAATCATAGAGCCCTTTTGTCAGCCATCTCCTGACAGGCTTAGTAGGCATATAAGCTTGTCATATAATTGTTTTTTTCCACAAGGGGGAGGGGGTGGGAAAGAAGAAATGTTTTCTGAAGGGACTGTGCTGACCAATTGCCAATTCTCCCTCTTTTCCCTCATCCTTCATGCTTTAACTTTGTGTGAAATGACTGCTTTTTGTAGGCGTGTTGTAACTGAGGTGACTTTTTTTTTTTTTGGTGTCACTTCTGTTCTTAACAGCTTTTTTGCCAATTATTGATATTGATTGAAACAGATTTCTGTGGTGAGGTGGATAATATTTGTGTATGACGCTATATTCAGACTAATCCAGCAGTGATTAGTAAGATGATTGAAAGACTAATACACAGCTAAAATGTTACTGCTCTGCAGATGATCATTGGTCTGTGAGACAGGTACAGAACAGAATAGCCACGTTTTGCTGATCTTTGTTTTTAGGAGCTAAATAATGTTGATAATTGTAGTGTCTACTGAAAGGAAAATAATTTCCCCCAAAGCACAATTTTGTAAGTGTATATGTTGTAAATGCACAGAGCACCTTGGATTTACATAAACATCACCCTCCTGAAACAACAACTTTTGCGTTAAACATGACTTCCCTGTCTGGTTTGTAAGTTGGATTGGAATTGTGAAACTGGTATGTGCACCACTAACCATGCAGGATGTTTCAAATGCTGTGCAAATACTGTGGGAATAACTGATTGCTGTATCCTACACTAGTGGTCACATACAGCATGGGTACAGAAGGAGGCAAGGTCTGAGAGACTGAGTTGGGAGATGTTCTTCCTTTCAAACTTTTTTTTGTAGTCCAGGAAGATAAACTTTTTGGCTAGTCCTGACTTAATTTATAGGACTTCTGGTACAATTTAAAGCCAGTAAAATAAATCTTATTTGATGTTGATCATCTACAGAATGTGTTTTATAACAGAAGGTGAGTAGCATTAGTTCAGTTCTGTTGATGGGGAGACTTGAACTAAGAAGAAAGAAGCCAGACTTTCAGGTTATCAGAACATAGATCTGTGGTTTTCTTGTAAATTTTTATTAATAAAAAATAATTAAAGTTCTAGAAATCTGTTTATTAGAATGACTAGCACAGAGATGGGGTATCTGGTATTAAGGGTTTTACACTGTTCAGTTCAGAGCAGTAAAAAAACTTGTCAAGAACAAGCCATATAGGGAGCTTCTGTACGTGGAGCTTCTCTGCTGTTTTTTTTCTGGGATAAACAGTGTGTTCACAAAAATGTGTTTTGAGAACTGATGCAGAAGTAATGACTTAAACATTAAAGGACAGAAAAAGAGTCCATTTAACATGCTGGATTAATTCTTCGTGTTTTGTTTGCAGTATACAAATTTTAAAAGTATAGAAATTTAAATAGTTTTTACATAAATTGTCTTCATTTTGCCCTGAAATAAGCTTGTAAGAACTTGATGAAAAGCCTTAATAGATACTTGTCACAGTCTTAAACAACTAAAAGGTCAAAATAAATATTATATTGGGAATTCTTATAATTAAATCCCACTTAGCCTTGAAATTAGCCCTATCCAGAGCATTAGAGAAATCACTGAAGAACAGGCTGTACCTCCTTAATAGGTAAAAGTATATCCAGCTACCACAGTCCTTACCTGATTGGGCACTGCACTTTTGTTTGATACTATATAAACAAAACCCAAGGAAGGTAAGAGGGTTCTTTTTACCGTATTGTGAATTCAGTATTCAAATAAGTGCCTTTTGATTCCAGATGGCTTCACTGGCAGTGACAAACTGGCCTAAACCATTGCCCTTGATCCCATGTCTTTCCTGGTCAACAGCTTCCGCAGTCTTTACTACGGTAATTAACATGTATTTTTGTTAATATCCTTGGGTGTATCAGATAGGTAACTTGAAAGTTTCGAGTTGGCCACAAGCACCTTGTCAGCTAGGGCATTCCATCACCCTTCCCTCTGTTACTGACTAGTGTCAAAACTCACCCTTCCTGCTCAGAAGATCCAACACATGATAAGGAGGGGAGCTTTGAGCTGCTTCAGCATGTCATGTACCAGATTAGGGCCTGGGGCTGGTTTGTGAGACAGTAATTAGAGTCCTGGTCTGGATGGGGGAAGGTGAGGAAACAAGCTGTGAAAACATGTTTTCTCCTGCTCAAAGCCTGGCTTAAACACTTGGGTGATAATGCTGCTGCTGCCATCAGGGGGACCTGTTTTCACTACTGCTGGTGGAGTAGGTGAGTGAATAGACTGGCTTTGACACCCATCATAGATTTAGCCCAGTCTGGATGTATATAAATCCTAGGTGGGACTGTTTTCTGCCTTCTTGTTTTTCCTTTTTTAAAATTTGTTGGAAACCTGCTTCCCTTTAGATAACTATGTCTTATGTTATAGTATGTACTCATGCTTTGCAATAATTCTAAGGGTTATCTGGAAACTTGGCAGAGTTCTACTGGAAAAATCAAGTCATAGAGAGGAACAGATCAATTTTCTCTGTATATAATAATTTTAGAATAATTTCTGGGTTTTACTTGTGTATAGATGATTGTGTTTATCATCTCAGGGTGTGTTGAGCAAGGCAGTGAACTGGAGAGAACTAGAGAAACAGTATTTTACAGAAACTGTTTATGAAGAAGAAATCATTCAAATGCTTGAATACTGTGGAGTAAGTATAGTTTATTTTCCCTATTTGCTAGTGTTTACTTGTGCAAATCTAACAAATAATGCCATTTCTTTTTACTTCTGATGAGAGTACCCAATTGTTAGCTTAGACATTTGCCAGTTGTTTATTTATGCTTGTGAGAAATTTAACCTTTGAAGGAAAACAGTCAGAAAACCAGAAGCTAGTATTTCAGTTGTATGATATGTGTTAAGTATGGCACTTGCTACAAGTTTTTTCCATGACCACACTTAGTGTAATCTGCAACATAAAGTGAATTTAATCAAAGCCTTGAAACTGTAGATAATATTTCCCAGTAACTGGCTTTATAGTCTGGAAAAATCAATAGCCTGATGTGCAATTATAAAAAGATTCATTGACCTTTGAAGCAATTGCTTCCAAGTATTCTATAGCAACATGACATTACTTCTGTAGTTTGTGTAGAGTGCACAGTCTCTGTTTCTGTTTCTCCATCAGCTATAGATTTTTATTGCACAGGCCGTTGGGACAAGTGTGAGGTACAGCTTTCGTAGTTTACTCATTGCTCATTACGAAATAGAATTTTTCTGCTGCTTTTTTTCTTTTGCTTTCTTTTTGACTAGGGTCGAAGGACTCTTCCCAAGGGGAATTTTGTTGCCTCACCACTCTTTTAGATGGGAGTGATAACTTTTTAAGAATTTGCTTCTAGACAATTCTGATAAATAACTATTCCCCTAAGATTCTTTGCTTTGTCACAGTCTGTTTTCAAATAACTTATGACAGGAGGAGGGGCTGGAGTGGTGATAGTTACTTAGGTGCTTGCCATTTATAGGTAAAATACATTCCAGGAACACTGAGGGCACAGGTAAAATTAAAAGAAGAAACATTTCAAGACGTTCAGCTTGTATTTTCTTAGTATTTAAAGACAGTAGATTTTTTTCAGTCCTAAGTGTAACATTAGACCTGGTTACATATGTTTATTGCTCAGAAATTTAGGCTTAAACGACTGCTATTATAAAGTCAGAATTTAACATAGAATTAAAGACAAATGTCTGTATCATAAGCTACCATATATAATTACTTCCTGCATTTTTTAAGATGACAGAATTGTAGAATGAAATTCTCAGGAGGTTATGATGATCATGATTTGAGTGACATGCAGGCTGAAAATAACAAGTACTGTGAGCATTGCTGTTTGTAGCTTTCTTCTTTAATATTGAGTTGTCTTAAAAATAATATTAACCAGCTGATTTAAAGGAGAAACTATTAATAAATAACCTGTTGTCTTTGTCTAGACGGATTCTTTCAAGATGGGACAAGACTTTGTTAAAAACTTCCCTGAAAGTGTGGACAGTCTGGAGGATGTGGACATGACTTCCAGAATGTTTGGCCTTGATTGCTCAAACAACACTGTATCTAGAGAAGCTGTGCACAGCTTTACCACAAATAAAAGTACTCTAAGTGCCTCATCAGAAAGACTCTTAACACAAGATGCTCCTAAAATGCAGTGCATAAATCAAACATTTTCAACGAGTAGCAACAGCAATAAAAACTTCAGCAGCCCACAAGGACACAGGATGAATAAAAGAAGAAAGAGTGACACTTTGCAGAGAGAATCCTTAAGGTTCATGAAAGGAGTAATGGATGAATGTACCCATGTAGCTAACTTTTCAGGTATGTATTTATTTGTTTTAATGTGCAGTGTTTTAATTTTTAATTGTTTTATTTTGGAAAATTAAATAAAAATACAATGGAAGGAAAGGTGTTTTCTTTGTTCTCCGTTGTGTAAGCCTGCTGGCACTTGAGTTGAAATATGAAAATGTCTTGAGTGCTATTCAGTAGCATCTGTTTACATCTCCATTTCCTAACTGTTTTTCTCATTCTTCTTACTGGCCAACTAATGATAAAGTGAATTTAAAATTTGCCTTTCAGTGTCTGTGCTCATTTTTTGCTGTGGCTATTTTCAGATAGGAGTTGGTTCAAAATTGTATTATTCAAAAGAACAAAATGTCTGTGTGATGTGAGTAATATCTAGATCTAATTAGTCTGCTAATAAGGTTTTTCAAGCAGATTCAAGGATATCTCATAAAGCAGAAATCTGATATTGTCTTCAGATAGAAAGTAGCCTACATAGCTGAGAGCCAAGCTTCAATGATTGTTCTAGACAAGTGTGACCAGTAAAAACGCACAGAGGTCGTTCTGGGGTGATGCAGTCCGGTGAACATCATGTTTCCCAAGACAGGCATGGCACACATGGGGAGCTGTAGCCCAGCAAGCCTTAAATCTCATGAATATTTTTTTTTTTGGTGCATAGGACAAATCCCTTTCAACAGCAACTGAGTGATTTCCTCCTTGAGCTGATGAAAAGGATTGGAATGGATTGTGACAGTCCATACAGACAAAATGGTTCAGCA